AAGAGGAATATTTTAAAGAAGTATCGTTTTTGGGAATCGAGGGTCTTTAAGAAGTTGTTTAGAATTCTCCAAATAGGACTTCTATACTTCGATTACCATTTTTAGGTATATAACAAATATTCAGTAGATAGGTTTATAGATAATCCAAGAATGTTAAACAGGTATCATTATAGATGTGTGACGAAATGAAATGAAATAGCATAAATAGTAGTAGGGTGTTGGCAGGGTTTAGTATTGGGGTGAAAAGGATTTTAAATAGTTAGAATAAATGTTATGAATTTAGAATATAATCAGGTAATAGAAAATAGGATGGTTTATAGTTAGAAGGATTGGGGTTTATGGTTAAGGTTAGGGAATTAGGTTTAATTTGGAATTGGGTTAAAGTTAGGGATAGAATGAGTTAAATTAGGGATAAGGGAATAGGATAGTTTATAATTAAAAATATCAGGTTTAGTAGTAGGAATGAAGTGGATTTTTGTTAGAAATAGATTAAGAAGAATTGAATTATAGTTAGGTAAAACAAATTAGGTTGGCAACGGGTTTTAGGTTATGAATAGATAAATCAGTTGAATTTGGAATTGGGATTAGAAAAAGAAAATTGTGTTTTGAATTTAGAGAAAAAGAAATTAGTTGTTAGAGATAAATAGAATAGTTTTAAATTAAGAATGGTTTGATATTAGAGGAAATAGAATTGGAAATGGATTCCAGATATTTAGGTTAGAGTTAGAGAATTGGGTTTAATTTGGGGTTTGGGTTTCAGTTAAAGAATTGAGTAGATGAAAATGAATAAAGCGAATTGAAGTTAAATAGGTTAGGTAAAGCAGATTTAAATTGGAAAGAGGAGTTTCTAGGTTTAGAATTTAGAGAATTAGGAAGTTAGTAGTTAGAATTAGGTTGGGTTGAGAGTCTCATATACATACATTAAATTAAATTAATTGTAAGTAAATAAATAATTAAATAAATAAAGAAATAAGTTATTTAATAAATTGCATATATGCTAAGAACTGAAATTGGACATAAGTTCTTTTGTTTTGCTTTAGTCATGTAATTTAGATCTTTGTTTCGGAGATTTGGCAAGTGCTGAATTTGAGCTCTTTAACAATTTTGAACAATTTTTTTTTTTAGTTTAGAAAACTATAGATATTTTCTACTAAAGAGTATGTAGTAGAACTTTCCTAGCTCTAGTATTTAAAGAGTACATAATAGAATTTCTTAGCTTTGATAGTATCGTATAGATTTCTGAGACATAAAATTTCTGAGTTTCTTCTGAGTTTGTATTTCATAAGGTTGGGATTAATTACGCTTATACTTTGGCTTGTGGGTAATTTGCGCTTAACACTCTTGGTTAAGGTTTGCAATAAACTGTGAGCTATGGGTCCTTATACCTACACTTTGGCTCGTGGGGTACCTGTCCAAGAAATTTAATCTCGGAGTTGCAGTAAGCTGCGAGCTCTGGTTGCTACAAAAGCAGAGGCCCTTCTGTGCAAGTCTTTTTCAACTTAACAGGACTTTCCAGTTGCTACAAAAGCAGAGGCTTCAAGTGTACTTTTCTGTACAAGTCTTTTTCAACTTGACAGGACTTCCAAGTGCACTATTACTCCTTTAGTAATAGGCATTTACAAATAAATAAAATAATCTTTGGCAATAGAAGAGGATATCCAAGTTAATGGGTTCAGTATTTTCAAGCTTCTTGGGAGATTTTCTATAATTCCAGAGGAGACCTTTTAGTATTCCAGGGAGACTTTTTAGCTTTCCGCCAGAAGACACCAAAATGTTACAAGTGGGGTAGCCTTCTTAATTTACTACATGCAATATAGCACACAGTGACAGGGATCTCTAAAACAACAGGGCGAGATATAAAGTAGTGTGGAAGTGAAATGTTTTCTTACTAGGGCAGTTTGGTATATTCATTAGAAGCATAGAGACATGGTTTACTTTAGGGCAAAAATATATTTATTTCTTTATGATACAATATCTAGATACAAAGCTATCTATAAGTATCTATTCCTATAGAATCCTAATATTTTAGAACATTACAGGGAATGAATCCTCTAGTACAAGAAGGGTAAAAGCTAGAGTTTATATAGCTTTTACAATACATACAAAGTACTAAACGTATAAAAGGTATAAAAGGTACAAAAGATATAAAAACTATAAAAGGTATAAAAAGTATGAAAAGTACAAAAAGTATAAAAGGTACAAAAGGTATTATTTAGCTAACCAATAGTTTGTTATTATATATTGTAGCTTGTTTTGATCATTACAATCTTCTGGATCTAATAGAGATAAAATCTTTAATATGTTCTATAATGTTAACTCATTCTATAATAGTATATAAGAAATTTTTTGCTAATAAAAGGATAACAACACATAATAAAATTAAGTTATGGATGATTATGACTCTTATGTGTGTAGCAGGGGCATATAAGAAACTAACATTAGTAGTTACTTTTAGTCTGTAGTCACTTAGGGCCGTGACAATATTACAATTATTTTTTGGCTAAGGTAACAATATTCTAGATTTTTTTGCAAAACTAAGATTATACTTACAAAACCAGGGTCAGATAATGCAGAAGGCCTACTAACAGAAAAAGAAGTAGCTATAGGATATTTAAAAGGCTATATGAGAGGAAGAGCTTTAGAATAGTTTGACAAAGAAATTACTACAAAACAAAATTGGAAATTAGCAAACTTACTTGATAATATTGAAAAGGCTAACTTAATAGCAGTAAATAGATGAACAGCAGTTCAGATAGGAAATCAAGTATTAAATAAAGCACTTGGCTAACCAGGAACTACAATAATCAAGTTGAGAAGTATAGAAGGTCTATGAGATGAAGATTGATATATAGCAAATAGTTATTCTACTAACATTGTTATTAATATACCAAATACTAATAATGATACTACAGTAGCTGTAGCTAGTATTCATTTGGTTAGGCTATATGGTGACTAAAAATATATTTTCCTACAGTAGAAAAAGAACTTCAGAATTTAATATATAGAACAATTAGAAAGAGAAATATAACTATAGATAAATTATATAGAAAATTATTGCAAATAAATAGACGAGCCAACTATAGACCTAAAGAATTACATAAAAGTTTTTAATAGGCAATTCTCCAGTCAACTGGACAAAAATTTTTTTTTTTATATATAAATTTTACTATAAGTGCGAATGCACCGAGCCTGTATCTAAAACTTTTTTTATACTAAGTAAATCACTCTTCGGCTTCTAATAAAAGTTGTAGAGCTCATCAAAATGTACTTAATACTGAAAGGATATTAAAATTGGCCTGGTAGTTCTTGAGAAATCTTTAAAAAACTTCTTTTTCTTATATAAAATTTCTTTAAAAAAAATTAATTTTTTTTAAAGAAATTTTATATGTGAAAAAGAAGTTTTTTTAAAAGATTTCTCAAGAACTACCAGGCCAATTTTAATATCCTTTCAGTATTAAGTACATTTTGATAAGCTCTACAACTTTTGTTAGAAGCCGAAGAGTGATTTACTTAGTATAAAAAAAGTTTTAGATACAGACTCGGTGCATTCGCACTTATAATAAAATTTATATATAAAAAAAAAAAAATTTTGTCCAGTTGACTGGAGAATTGCCTATTAAATACTCTTCTGCTTCTATAGCTTGAAAAGGCTAAGGATATCAGTAAATATTTGCTATTAGATAAATTAGCTAAAAAGCTATATGAAATAAAGTTGTACTGAATAGCTAGACATAAAAAAGATAGAATACCTAATTTGCTAATATTTTTAGAAATATATGAACCCTTGCCTGTTTCAGCTCCTCAATAACAAAGAATTTCTTTAGAATACATGCAAAAGGTGATCCAAAATACACTAGTATAGCAATATTAGTCTTTATTAGAAAAGCAAAAAACTGATTTTTAATCACAAATAGTCTAGCAAGCTGTTGAATTAGTTAGACAGTCAAAAGACCTGCCATCTTTACTAAAAACAGAAGAAGATATAAAAAATTATTATGTATCAAAATTTCTTAAAGATTTAAATATAATTAATAAAAATGATTTAGACTCAGATTATTCTGTAAAACTCTTTCAAAAACCCTTTTCTTGAAAGAGCAATGTTTTTGCTAGAATCGATAGAGTAGAGAAGGAGATAAATGAAACTTGTAATACAGTAAATCAACTAACAAATCAATTTCAGAAACTAAATATATGTTAAATGTGATATTTGTAAAGATACAAACCATAATAAAAGCAGTTGTCCCAATAAACAGATAGTATAATCTAATTTCAATCAGTCTACTTATTTTAAGCCTCTTATACTTATAAATTTTCAAAACACACCTTTAGGTTTGGATAATAAGAAAGAAAGTTATAATGAAGAAAATAATAGATAGACTGGATATGATCTATCAGTAAAAAAAAAATAATACAATAGAAAATAACAAGCCTGAAATGTATAATTAGCTATTGTTTAAGCTTTTACCACCAATACGAAAAATGTGCTTGTTCTAAAAAGCTCTGAAAAAGAAGTTAAAGAAATCAAATAAGTGGTTTTTATCTTTATAGTACTTGCATTGTAATATAAATGATTTATCGATTCTTGATTCTTTTTTAGATACTGGAAGTGAATTTAGTAGAAAAAATGTTTCAGCAATTTATGCACTTGGATGGAAGATTGATGAGCCATCTGATTTTGCTATAAAGAGCAATTTCAAACATATTACTGATTTATTAGAATAGTACACAGATGTGCCAGTTACTATGAAGAACAAAGAGGAAAAGACAATCACAGTCATTGGAAATTTTGTACATATAGATAATGACAAACCTGAACCAATGCTATTTTTAGGTATGTCTAATATTTGAAAGCTCCAAGGTGTTTCCGAGCCAAATAAAAACTAGTTCTGTATAAAGTTACATGGGAAAACTTATGTTATTCCAACATATAGCAAGGCCCCAGTAGCTATTAATCCATTAATCATGTATATTTACATATAGCTATCATTTACTCCCAATTATCAGATACAAATACCTGTGGGTCTATTATAAGCTTTAAAATTAGTAAAATATTCTAGTTCACAGTAGGTATTTAATTCAATATTTATGACATAAGTGAAATTAAACTAAGAATCTTTGATTCTATATACAGCAAGATATAAATTTAAAAAATACTTTACTAAATTTTTAATGATTGAAAATTAATTATATAAATTTTAACAAAATACAAAAAGCATTGAAATCCTTATTTTAATTATGTATTTATATTTAGTTTTTGTCTTTTAATGATATAGAGAAGTATGAACCTTGGAGCTTTTTAACATTTTTAATCGAACTATTTAGGGATCGAAAGGCTAAATTACCTGAGCTATAATTAACGAATCCCTTTTCATTATATATACAAATAAACTTCTGATCATTATCTTGTTGCTTTTCTTCAAAAAGTGCATAATGCTTACATCTATTAAACAGAATGGAATTGATCCAATTCAATAATTTGAAGGGTTGCCTTGTCCACATTCTATTTACAGAACCGTCAGCGATAACACTATAATAAGGAGTCGATACATTAAACTTTAACAGATCATATCAATGTATTGAATTAGGATATACAAAGGTCGACATACCTGTAATGAATGAAAAGCTTACTTCCAGATCCTTCAATCTGTTCTATCACCTCACGCGATTTAGGGTCGAAAGCAATTGTATGCGCTTTCGGAGGATTATCACTTATTGGTAGATAAAAGCTTATCGCATTCTCTAAGTTTTTGTCTTCATTGTCAGATAGTAAATGTTGTTCACACGTTACCAAAAGACTATAAGAATTATCATAGCTATCGATTGGAACTGGGCTATTAATATTTTCAATAGGTTTACGCATACTATATTTAAATTCAGGTCCTTTAAAATTATGGAAATCTTGCGGATAACCAATAATTATCCACCCAACATTTACTTTGAATGTATTTTTTTCTCCATTAATTTGATGGACTAATAAACACGTTTCTTTTTTTTTATTGCGGACCACTCGAACAGAAAAGATATTATTTTTTCTTTCTTGGTCTATGACAGAGGCAAAGATTTGATATTTTTCTAAATTGTTAAATTTTTTATTCTTGAAATTCAATAAATGCAACGTATTTAGTTGAACATTAGTTTCAATATCAGATGCCAGAATTCTTTTTCCTAAAATTTTTCTAATAACTTTGTAATTGAGGTTTATATCGTTTTTATATAATAAGTTAAAAATTGGTTCAGCTTCATAAAAAATGACTTTCCACTTTTTCCAATTTTCTCGTTTTAAGGAATCTATCCATGAAGCTTTATTATCATCTTTAACATTAACCGAATCCCCTCCAATAGCATCAAACTCTTCTTGTTTAGTTACATATAGATTATTTTTATCGGTTGAATGTGAATGTTGAGCCTTAACCCCAACACCATTATTGATAGCTTTAATATCTAATCCGCCAGAGAGGTTATGAGAATTGTGTATATTATCTTTCAATAGATTATTCACACTGCGCTTTGTTAGCTTCCCACCTAAATAAAACTTTTTCCCATAAAATTTGCCGAACCTTTCATAAATTTTTTCGAACCTAGCCTTTATGTCTTCAATTTCATCGAATTCGGCAGATAAAGAGTCTTTCTCCTCGTCGGATAAAAACTCTTTATTGGTATATTTATCAATTAATTCACTAACAGCATTATAATCTTTTGAACACTCCGAATCAAACTTTCCGTATTTCTTTAAGATCGTTCGAAGTACTTTTAAAGATTTCTTTTCTATCCTTTCCTTTAATTCATCCATCATTTCGTCAAACTTTACAATTTCTTTTACTATCTTCAGTAAATCATTAGACACATTTGCTTCATGTATTGTCACCTCAGCTCTTATATAGAAAAAGATTTCAGAACTGGATGAAACTTCGCTATTTGTTTGCCTCTGATCAGTACTTGAATAGGAACCTTCGGCTTTAGCGGACACATATTGATTCTTAAAATTAACTCCCGCGTTTAAAGAAGCATTATTATTTTCCGACGTATTATAAACAGATTGAATTTGATCACGGGTTATTCCATCTCTGGTATAAGTATTGACGCCTTTGCAGTTAGGTCCGAATTTGCATTGATATTCAATTGCATGTTCCTTTTCTTTTTGAACAAAGTCAAGGTAATCGTGCCGTCCTATTTCCAGACCACGATTCAACTTAAAATGGTCAATGAATTTGCTACATGTAAACTTTCTGGGATCTATAACTTCTAAAGTGCCACCATTTTTCACGACATCCTTTAAACGAATATCTTTTTCATGTTCCCTTAAAATTTCTGAACAAGATCTTTGTTCTTTATTCTTTAAAGTTTGTGAATCATTCTCACTATTCCCTAAAGAATTCTCATTATTCTCTAAAGAGTTTAAAAATACCATGTAATCTTCAATACAAAAATAATTATGGTCCTTAAATTCATTTCGAATCTTTTCGAGCTTTTCATCACTTCTTCTATCCTGTAATACCACAGACTTGTTACCAATTTTAAGTATAATTTTTTTAAACACTGCGTTTGAAAGATTAGCACTTTGCATTTTCTTTTTTGTTTTAAAAAAAAACACTGTTACTTAAAAATTTGCAATTTAAAAAAATTTTGTAATTAAAAATCGCATTGATCAATTATAAAATTAAAATCCTACACGTCGTGTTGAATAAAGTAAAAAAAATTAGTACCGCCGAGTAGTAACCTTACTTATAGCTATTTTCAAAGGTGTAACCAGGTGCAAACCACTATATCATGGGAAAACAACATGATTTCCTTGATTCTGTGAATAAGGGAAATCGAGGAAATCAAGGAATTTGTGTGAATTTCCCATGATACGTATAATGGTTTACACCTGGTTACAGCTTTTTTAAAACAGTTATAATAAGACTTTTATAATTCTATGTTAAGAAATACATCGCACATAAATTTAAAATCAAAATGATCTTCGTATTTCACACTGTGTACGCAGATTTAATAAAAGGTCATAACAAATGCAGTACACTGTTATTCAACATTGTTTATATGTACGTACGCACGTACGCTCAATATTTCTATGTAGAGATGATGATGCATAAACTAGTAGCATACGAAATTTCCTAAGTTATCGAATCTCAATAAACGAAGGGTCTAGAACTCTCAATCTCTTCGCATAAATACAATAAGCAAAGAACAATATGTATGTAATCTGAGAATGACAAATTTACAAATTTAGTTTATTCCCAATGAGTAGTTAACCTTTATTCTATATAAAGTGATTTCTTGCGCCATACGTGTCACTAATGCAGTATAAGATAGTATATCATATTGAAAATAAACAAATATCTTAAATTATCGATCTCAACGATAAAGTTTTTTAACATGTGGGAATCGCAGAAACATCAGGAAAATCAAATAAGTGTAAATCTGCAAAATCTACATTTTAGCAGAATTTTTTGCAAAAAACTGCAAAATTAATTTGAAATTTTGCACAGAATTGTATTTAATTTCTGTGGCTATAGCTGAAGCTTTGCGCAGATTTATTATTTAATTTATTGCAAATCTGCACAAAACTGCACTAAAAAAATTTCTCGATAAACAAGCATATGTTATCGAGATTGATAAATTTAGGTTATCTTTTTTGTGCAAATACGCTGGTTATTAAATGCAGTTACCATATTGTACTCAGCATTATTATTTGTTACTTACGAATAATTTAAATCCAAACTTTCTACATTTATTATGTCAAAAATTATATTTATGATACAAATGCTGAATCTAATTTTTTTTATATTAAGAATATTACGTTGTTAAGTCATTTTTCGCAATGTATAATATTCTCTGGCCTCTAATCGCCTGGCTCCAACAATTGCTTGTTCTAATGCAGATTATTGGCATCAATTAAAGTGTGTACATAAATACTTTATTGAAGTCGATAATTTAAAAAATATTTGATTTCAAATGTGCTATATGCTTAATTATACCTAAATTATACAATTACCAATATACGTTATATATATTAACTATGGAGAGATGGTCTGCCCGGCGCATAATCAAGTAGTACATTGAAATCAAATATTTCTTAAATTATCGATTTCAATAAAGTATTTATGTATACACTTTCTTGCACTGTCGTGAATGGTAATACGTATGCATTATATAGATAATAGTTTGTTATGTTTTCTTATCTGATGACCTCTCAATAATAGTACAAAATCTGCGTATCGGTTTTGAGAGGCTCAATAGTATGTTTAACCTCTCAAAACTGATCCTGTCAAAACCAATAGCCTGTGAAATCCAATAAAAAATCAATCTACCAGGTCTGTTTCCACTATATAAATCTAATAATTCGATAACTCATAATACGTACAATATCTGTCCACCATGCATATCGGTTTTGGGAAGTTAACAGTACAGAATTGCATAATGCATCATGCAACATAATGCTGCATTATATGATGCAAAGCCAAAAAAAAACTTGCATTCACACATCTTTAATATAATTGATTATTCACTAGTAATTCCACAATTCCAATTGTGGAATGTGAATTGCCATTATAATTAATGCATATGTAAAAGTTGTTGGCATAAAAAGTTTTTAAGGGAACATAATACAATAATTTTCTCTTATACGTAAGAGTAAAATTTAAGATTTACAAAACATCAATAATGTAACTTCTGCATTAGTTATAGAATTCACAACCGCAACGTTGAACATCATAGTTCGGAATCTTCAATTTCCTTTTGTGTAACCTAACGCTTTTAAAAAGTTTCTGGATAAAAGAAAAGAAAGGAGAGAAAGAAACCCCATGACAAATAAATAACTTAAACTTTGTAAAAACTTTTAGTAATATGGAAACATTTACTACGTACATGCTGTGCAACTTTCAATGTTGAGTAAACAATATGATAATCGCATTTCATAACACCTTTTATAAACGTTGTTCTCGCCAGATGCCTTATTAATCTATCTTAATTATATAGAAATATATTCTTAATAGTCTAAATAACCTAAAAACTTAAGTTCGGAATTCTTCTATAAATATAAATTTTCGACAAATGCAAAAACAATATGGAGGAATTTGAAGAAAATCTAAAATTGAATTATCCACTTTGCTATCGAGATCGAGACTTTGAACATTTAGAACCGAAGTTCACAAGGGGCGAACTCGAATTGGAGAAATTTACTGATATACGCGTATACCAACCGGACGCAAAAGCAAATAATAATGCATGGAGTTCAATTTCCGACACCAATACATTTGATGATCCAGAAACCACAAAGATTCTTATTCCAATTTTTAAAGTAAAGTGTGCAAATCCTCCTGATGAATCAACTAAGGATAATAAAGAATTATTCATTGCAATGAAAGTATGGGTCGGAGGATTTTTAACTATTGAAAAATACCCTGAAGATCTAGAATTTGATAAATTGAAAGCATGCATAAATTTTGCTATAGATGCAGTTCAAAAGGGACAAGATATCTTATTTGAAAACTCTAAAATTATTCCTATTATTAAAGATTCAGAAGGTAAAACCATTGGTGATATGAAAAAGTTGGTAATTATTATTTAATTGATATATAAATTTTCGTTACGAAAATGATCTACCAACGAAAAAATTATAATTTTATTATTTACTAATATATATATATCAAAAATATTCAGTATGCTTATATAGAAACACTGTATAACTATGATCGTGTTTTCATAATTGCATATGAAGAAGTGAAACGTGTATCTGATAAAGAAAAAATAGATAAGCTTTTAGTACCAAAAATTTCAAACCATAAAGAAATCAAAATTAATGAATGGTTACAAAACAATCTATTTATAAAGGTTTCAAACTGGATTGAAAAATATCAACTAAATCATGGCTTGGTGATCTCTTCTGGCAAAATAAGTATCAGTCATAAGCCTTCGATAAAAATTTCTACTATACCATCGATTAAAGTGATTCAAAAAACTAAAAAGGAAAAATATAACTTTAGTAATGCTGATAAGCAATCACCAAATTCGATTTGTTATCAATATAAAATCATTAACGAACAAATTGAAATTACCTTATCAGATGAATTTAGACCAACAGAAAGCCTTAAGCAGGCAGTTAAACATGCAATAAATTGTGAGTCATCAAATGTAGCTGCCAAAAAGTTGGCTAACGTCTTTACAAAATATGGACATATATTCTGCAAAAAGATTACTATGGGTAAAATAATAGATGTATTGTCTGATAAAAACGTCCCGAAAAGATCAATGATGCCAGTAGAAGAGAATGGAATAGATGCCTGGTCCAAATATCTTTTTAAAAATCCTGATTTGTGGTGTGTAGTGGATCGACACGAAATGGTTCCTGTTTTTAAGATTTTTGAAGAAGAGCAAGAAAAAATTAGATCAATGATGAAAATAGATGAAATTTCCATTTTTAAGCCTCTCAGAAAAGAAACGCAGGAAGTTTTAAGAACTGGAATTATTTGCCTTGATAATAATGATGGAAAATCTTATCCAGTAAAATTTAATCATTGCTTAAAAGGTGAAGAAGTTGAAGGTTATAAAGTCGTTGGAACCGTTATTAATGATGATGGATCAAGAAGATCAGATTTAATATTGCAATTTAAAAATTTAAACACGTCTGGATTTCTTGCAGCTATTGAACCAAATAAAACAACTAAATGGCAAGTTTATTCATGATAAACATTCGAATTTGTATAGATTCTTTAATCCTAATATTTTATTATGTATTTTTATTAATAATAGTGATTCAGAAAAATATATTGATTTTGATGAAGTATATATTGTTTGGATATTAATTGGAAATTCCGATAATGAAAATAAAAATGTTCCCGTACTAAGTGGAGAAGTTTCAATGAATCCTGAACAGAAAAACTTTTCGATTACTGTTAAAGATAAATTATCACCTAACCACGTTCTTATTACTAGCTGTGATTATAACGATATTAAACTAAAAGATTGGTAAATTATTTAATTGCATTTACTAGCTACAATGTATAACAATCTCATCATTAAACGCAAAAAATATTTTAATAGGTCCGACAGAAAGATCGATATGGAAATTATTCCAAAAGAACAAATGACTCATACTAATTCATCAGTACAATGGTTTGTTATTTATTCGGAATTGGATATTTTTGAAACAGTTTATAACAACGAAAAAATTAATCTAGAATGGGATTTATTTGGTTATAAACTTGGATCAGGTAATTCAAAATTAAGTATAATAAATGCTAATACACAGGTTTTCTAAATGTTGGTTGTTTAATCGATTAGTAGATACGAAAAATAGTTTCATGAAACCAAATTTTGTCGGATATATAAAATCAGATCTGAAATTTATTGAAGCTGAAATTCGTTCTGAACGTGAATACGAATCCGGGGTAAATGACAAGCAGAAACCGCAAAATTGGCTTCAATTAAAGTCCAGAGTGCGTAAAAATGATTTTAAAAGTGGTAGTTTTGAACGCGTATTTAAATATGAACAAAGAGAACAAAATTCCTTCAAAGTTGATCATGAGAATGAAAAAAAAGCATTTAATGAAAATGATAACAATCTTGGATATCGTTATGAAAATGGAATCGAAATAGGCAAAGATGTAAGGGAAGCATTGCGATTGTATAAACAATCTGCTAAAAATGGAAGTCACGTAGGCCAGAACAATGTTGGATATTATTATTACTATGGAATTGGAGATGGAAAAAAAAATATAGACAAAGCTTTTGAGTACTATTTAAACTCTGTTGACCAAATATATGAAGAACAGACATCCATCGATAGCAGTTAGTATTTAACCCATTTTTGAGTTCAAATTTTGTTAAGCAATTTGTTACTAAACTTCTACAATCAATTTTTGATTATATTAGATGAATTTATGAACTTGTTGGATGACTATAAAACTTAGGTTGCATAGTTCAACATAGATATTTCTTTTGGTATTTTAATGAGTTCAAAAATCGAACTTCTATTGTTTTCAAGCTAGTACTGAGGTCAAAACTGACCGAGATTACTTTATTTCCTCTTATCTGAAATCGATTTTTAATAAAAAGTGTATTAAAAAATTTTTTTTGGGCATCTTATAAATTGGCATGTTATTTTTAATTTCCATCGATCGAAAAATAACTCAGATCAATATATCATCTTAATAAAAAACAATTTCCGACTAAATAAAATAATTAGTAGTAAACGTTAAATATTTTTCTCACTTAGTCTAATCGGGCATAACGATAAATTATTTTAGAATATTTTTTTGTATCATCCTTTTGCTGCAATAATACAAAGTGTAATGCTTCTTTTTCTGTAAGACGTAGTGCACCCACAAAAATTGTTCCCCCATAATTTTTACTGAGAATAAAATCTTGTAGTTTGGGTTAGGACGATAGAGTTTCTATTAGCAAAATTTCACGAGGAGCATTCTTAATTAGACCGCAGAAGGCGGTTAACATAGTTATAAGTTTGCTCCTGTGTTTTTCCTATCTAGAATAGTTTTGTACTTAATAAATAGTAATACAAATTTTTTTTTGTAACTTGATTCTTTTTTTAGCTGCTTCTTAGAATTTCACGGTTCAAAACACTTGCCGCGTTTATCATCTTAGCCTTCGAGGAAATACTGTGAATACAGCCGATCTGACGCTAAATGCTCTGATTAATTCATCTACTAAATTAATATATGGGGATTTTGCCTTGAAAATAACCTTATGGGACATAGTAATTTTACTATGTTCTATAAGGTCATTTTCAAAGCAAAGACCCCATATATTAATAAAATAGATCAAAAATATTCATAAGTGTCTCAATTAAGAAACATTCTTTATATTTTCCTACTAAATTTAATAAACAAACAAATAAATTAAATTTAATGAGGTAAGAACTGATAAATTCTAATAATAGCTTACTGTATTTTAACCAAATCAAATCGATTCATTAAAGTACATGTGGGCCGATTCATGGCATTGCTGATATCTCTTGATCTACCAACCCGATTGGGATGATTTAGCTACCAAAATGTTCGTCTCGATGAGACGATTCTAAGAGCACAAAAGCGCTAAAATGCAATCGCAGGATCCCGAGAACACTCAAGTTTTGTGCGATTTTAATAGTATTTTTTCAAATTAGTATGAAGATGCCTTTAATGTTGGGTGATTTAGCCACCAAAATGATCGCCTCGATGCGACGATTCTAACAATTTATCTCCCACTACAGGATCGAGATCGTTAAGGATCAACAAAAAAATATAAATGAATTCTTTTCAATCTCTGAAAAAATATTTTACTGTAAATAATTTCTAATATAGTGCATAATTTGTGTATAATTTGAGTAAAAAATTTGCATAATTTGCAATTTAGCGCATAATTTTAGACACACTACATAGCAACCACGTGATCAACATAACGAAATAACAAATTTAAGCGAAGATATCACAACAACCACTAAGTCAACTTCAATGAGTCTTTTTTTATTCGAATTCTACTGATCTGTAGAAGTCAAATAAAAAAAAAATCATCGAATTTGGCTTGGTGGGTGTCGAGATCAGTGTTGAAAATTCAGCATCAGAGTTGTGGGCGGGCCGCACATTACATATTTATCTTGGTGCGCTACAGCGCACATAAGCTTTTTTTAAACGTGCGCAAAACAAATAGCTTAAATATATATATTTTGCAATTAATTTTTAAGACAACAGCAGATAGTGCTAAAATAAATTATTTATTTATTTATTTATGCAATACAATTTAATTTATTAATATTTAACTAGCCTTTTGGTATGTCGTATAACAAATTTATCCATTTATTAAATCAATATAAGTTTGATATCGATAAAAATTAAAGATATAATTTGATTCAATATGTTTTATTTGGATTATTAATATTAATTAAACGTAAGTTAGTTGCATAAAAAATATAGCGCACATCAAAGCTTATTACAAATATGAATTTAAAAATTTTAATGTGCGCATTCCGCTCAGAATCTTAAAACCCACGAGCGCTTTGCGCACATATTGTTGACCTTTAAGGCGCGGAAAATTTTTTTAACGTGCGTTCCGCCCCTTCCGCACATTAATTTTAAACACTGGTCGAGATATCTTCACCCAAAGTTTAATAACAATTTGGTGCAGCTCTTATTTTGATAGATGTTTTTGATTTTTTAGAAGATATCAAGACAAATTTAATAACTTTTTAATTTAAATTCTACAACTTTGTAGAACTCAGATAAATAAAAGCCCATCGAATTCGGCTTGGAAGTTGTCGAAATATCTTCGTGAAATTCAAAACATCTCAAAATAGAAGCTGCATTAAAATTTTTACTATTTTGAACGAAGTTATCTCAACAACCACCAAGCCATCTTTGATGAACTTTTTTATTTTTTTATTTGAATTCCACAAATTCATAGAATTCAAATAAAAAAAAGGACATCGAATTTGGCATGGCAGTTGTTGAAATAACTTCATTCAAATTTAGAAAAAGTTTTGATGCAGCTTATATTTTTGATTAATGGTTTGAATTTTTTCAACCTTTGAGCAAAGATATCTCGACAACTAACAAACCAAATTCGATAAACTTTTTTTTATTTAACTTCTGCAAATCAGTAGAATTCAATTTAAAAAATATTCATCGAGGTTGGCTTAATAGTTGTCGCTCAAATTTGTCATTTTGCTAAGTCGATCGTTGTGTGCTGATAAACGAGATAAGTCACGTGGTCGCTGTGTTTCTTATTAATTGTGTAAATGTGATCTAATCTACCTGACCCAATTAAATTAATTGTCGCATATTACGTGAACAAGTTACCTTTACAATCGATAAACAATTGAAATTTTTTATATATATCTGCATAATATACGCTTTTTTATATGTATACTATCAGCCAAACGCTTTTTCTTTTTTATTGAATTACTTATTCGAGTTTATTCGAGCGATTGAATACATCAGTGTTGTTAATTGGAAGGTCTAGTGATAATTACTGGAACTAGAAGATTAACTGGAATTTACTAGATGGAGTTGGAAGATATATAGTTCCAGTGCTAAGTTGTTACTAGACTCTTCCAGTTAATTTTTTTTTACCACTGGATGGAAGTTCCAGTGACATCCAGTGATGTCCAGTGATGTTTAATATTAATATTTAAGTTAAATTTTACAACTTTTATTAAATAAATTTATTAAACATTAGCACATATGCTGTGTATTAACAAATCGGATATACAAAGCTAATAAAAATCTAGTGTGAGAACTAGTGCTCCGAAAGGAGTCAAAAGTCCCGGGTACCCGACCCCAGAACATAAAACCCAAAAATTTATACACGACCCCAAGTGATAAAAGTATAATGCGCAAGAAAAGTACAGTATAGATAAAAAGTTTGCCTAGAGATTGAGCTATAATAAATTACCGGATAACCAGATAATTTTAATAATACACAAGCAGAAATTTTCAAACCCGAGTTTGTTCGAACAAATACGGGTTCAACCCCGAACCCAACCCGAATGACTCTTTCGAAGCACTAGTGAGAACACAAATTTCTTTTTATAATAAAGTTTTATTTGTGTAATTTAATACTATACAATCATATATCGATATATATACTTTTAAATTAAAAGACAAAACAATTAAGGCCCGTGACATTGTTTATATATGAGTGTCGCCAAAAGAAAACCTGACAATTTAAATATAAACCATATATATTTAAATTGTTAGGTTTTCTTTTGGCGACACTCATATAATAATGCCCAAACATATCCAGTCTTAGAACTAGGTCGGCTTATTATACTTCTGGCAAAATCCCAAACTTTGGCCTATTGAATACCTCAATAATTTTAATATACTGGTAAGCATTCCAAAATCGATCCTTTCAATATCGATAACTGTCAAATCTGATAAAAAAAATTAGCCTACCAAGCTTGTTTCTGCTATATAAATCTAACAGTTTACGATGTTTCAAATCCAATAACCTCTCAATACTGGAAGGTTCAACAGTATTCTTATATCGCATGATTATTTTTGGGGATTTGGGGTTTTGCCAGTAGTATTGCTGTGATCCCGAATCATAAAACCAAAAAGATATTTTGCACACTTACCATATCCAAGACTGGCCTAAATTACACCATATATCAATAAATTTGCAATTTCAACCTTGTAGCCTAAATTCTTTGAATTCACATGCCATCGCATCAATAATGTAATTAAAATAGAAAAATTAAATAGCAAATAAATTGTTAGTAGATAGAGAATATAAAGAGATAACAAAGATAATGCTTACTTCGAATAAGTTGAAAGATATGCATATATTGAGCTTCAATCAAACTTTCAACAGCACCTGCTGTTGGAATTTTCTTTTTGAATTTTGGTATACATATAATATGCGCGCCAAAAATTCAAAAGAAAATCAGAATTCCTTATATAACCTTCTACGCTAATGAACGCTTTGATAGGAATTTTAGCAACAATCATATGAGTGCCGCCAATATACATTTATATATAGGTTATATTTAAATATGTATATTTTCTCTTGGTGGCACTCATATAACACAGTACCTCAGGTCTTTATAACCAAAATTGAGATTTGATGTGTGTTACTACATCACAATTTCTCTTAATTAAGAAAGGTAGAATAAAGACAGTCCCATATCTATTGTTGGGTAAGCCTGGAGATAAACTGATACATGCATATTTTTTCCCATTGATCCTTGAATATAGGTGTGAACCAATTCGCTTGTGAGTCATACACTGAGTTCCAAATAATTGTAGAAGGTTATAAATATAGCTTCAAAAATCTCCGTCATTCTCAAAATCGAAAGTTTTATCTATTACTTTTAGCTTAAAAAAAACTTGTTTGTCTTCGTTAGTGTAAAATTCATACAAAATGGCATGACGATATGCAGGTGGACCTGAAAAACATAGATTCACTGAAGATATTGTTGTGCTTGGCACGAAGGCAACAAATAAACATAATACATACGGTGTATATAAAGCTTGTGATCATGCTCTTGGCTCTAAAATCATCATTAACCAATAAAAAAAATACAGTTCGTAATCACTTAAAAAAATGCACATATTTCCGTGCTAAACTAGGATCTCAAGAAGCAGTAGATACATATTGCAACAGGACTGATAATGAAGAAGAACCTACTTCTCAAATTGCAAAAAGGCATCGAAACACAGATATATCTGGTAAAAATCTTAATTTTTTTAAAAAATTAAATTAATAAATTAATAAAAATAAATTTTTTTAAATAATAAGATGATGATAATACAAGTGATACGACCAGTAGCGCTACAACTTTCAATATGTCTAACCGCAATAGCAAACAAAAATCATTAAAAAATCCTGTAACAAACCTCATTGTTCGAAATATTACTACAAAGAAGAAACCAAAATTTGAAAGGCTGTTACTTCGGATGACAATTTCAAATGGATGGTCTTTTCAATGAACAACAGATCCAGCTACTTTAGAATTCTTTGAATTTTTAAACCCAAAACTTACTCTTCCTAGTCGGCATGTTTTATCTAATCGTATTCTTAATGTTGAAAAGACCACTTTGACCCAGTCTCGTGAACAAAAACTAAAAAATGATAATATTGGAGTTACTTTAGCATTTGATGGATGGAAAAATATTTTAAAACAACACATATTTGGTTCTTTATTTATTTTATCAACTGGAGAAATTTTAATTTGGAAGGCAATCGACATAAGCACAGAGAGAGAACATATGATTGAAATTATTCCCAAAATCGAATATATGATTAATGAAGCATTAGATCTAGATGCCAAATTATCTGCTATTGTTTCTGATAGTGCTCCAGCATATTCTGGTGCTAGGTAAGATTCTATAAATAAATAAATATCAAAAATATATATTAAAAAAAAAAAAAAAATAGAATCTTTGTTTAAAAATCCTATATCATTTAATAATAAACCATTAGTTAACAAAAAATAATGTTTAAATAGACCTCGGCTAAGATTATTATATCCAAAAATCATTTTTTTACCTGCTTCGCTCATCAATGCAATCTTGCTGTAGAAGAAATCTTCAAAGAATCTAACAAATTTAAAGTCGTATCCAAACAGGCCCTAAAAATAGTTTTATATTTTAATCATGCTATTAATTCATACTTCATTGGAAAACTTCAGGATATACAATTTCAAATTTATAAAATGTGTATTACCTTAGTTTGCCCAGCAGATACTCATTGAAATTCTTATTCCTACTGCTTTAAAAGTAAGTATTATATTCTTTTAAAAAATTTGTTATAAAATTTTTAAATTAAACCTGCTACAATTGTAATATAATAAAGAAATTTGATCTGTAGTTAATTTTGAAGTTAATATAACATGAAGGCTCTAGTAACTTAATTCAATAATCATCTTTTTTTTTTAAGAATTTAGCTACTACACACGAATCTCCTTTGTATAGTTTAGCTCAAAATTCAGATGATGAATTAGACCAATCTTCAACCAACATAGATAAACTTTACCTTCCACGAGATATAACGTCGATTCTACTCAATGATAATTTCTGGCACTTGGTAAAATTGTTGCACTCATTGCTTCTTCCTTATTGTGAAGTCCTCAATAAATTACAATCAGATACCGCTCGCTTTCACAAAGTGTTACAATCTTTTGGTGAAATATTAAAAATGTGGGAGGAATATTCTGATGAGGATTTAGCAGAGCATATAATCTCATGACTAGAACAAAGATGAAAGCAATGAGAGCAACCATTATTGTTATTAGCTTTTCTTTTAAATCCAAGTATTTACAATACTTGGTTCAGAACTAATACTGATAATTTAAACTTTATATACCTTGCCTAATTTATTACTTATTACTATAAAGCATGATTTGAGCATCAACTAACCTGTATTCTACTTGAGTTTGAAAAATATAGAAAATATGAATACCCATTTGATCGTCCAACATATAAACAATTTAAAGGAAACATATTAAAATTTTGGGAATTCGTCTCCCCCTCAACTAAAGAATTAGGACCTTTAGCTGTATGGCTATTTGGGATTTGTGTTAATGCAGCATCTATAGAACGATTATGGAGTTCGATGGGATTTATTCATACTAACCGACGAAATCGGCTCCAAGTAAGTGTTACTGTAATTAAAAGTACCTGGATTCTCATATTCCATTTTCTAGGTATAATATAATTTTGATATTGTTTTAATTTTTTTTTTTTTTTATAAATCGTAGAATAAAAAAGTGTTAGCCATGTGTCAAATTCGTGCTTCAATTAACTTCATTCAACGAAAAAAACTATACAAACCTTCCAATAATCCAGCATGTCAAAGTGATGAACCTGGACAAGCTGAACAAAATGAATTAGACAATCAAGATAAATTGGATAAAGGAAACAATTCTGAGGAAGATACTGAAACTAATATATCAGATACAATGGCATGGAAAAGTCGATTACAAGAGTGGGAGCAAATGTTAATTAATGAAGAAACTGCTATATTAGAAGAAGAAGAAGTAGAGCGTGAAAATGATGAATATAATATGAGTAGTGATTTGTTAAGTAATTATACGCACCCGGCAATTGACTATAGAGCAAAGTGGGAGTTGAGCAGTTTATTCAGCCCACTTTTCAAAAAATCAAGCTATATGATTTCTGAAGGTTAGCTTTTGATAAAATTATATTGATAACAAACTTATTGCAATTTTCACAGCTTCGTGAAATGCCGAAATATTTAATATAGGAAATTTACCTGAAGCCTTCAATCTTAACTGTGCTACGAGTACAGATTTAACCCAAAATAAGTAACACGGCTCTGTTTAAATTTGATTCAAAGTTAAATTAAATATAGATCTATTTTTTTTTTTTATTCATATTCTATCGCTACATATTGTACGTAATAAAAGAATTATTTAAATGAACAATTTTACTATATATATAAATATATCCCTTAAATTGTAACACAGGCAAATTTGCCTGCGAAGATTTTTACTAATTTTTTTAATATTTAAATTTTTT